AAGTACTTAACCCTGGCTTGGAAGGTAACCTTGTAACATTTCTAAGAGTAAGTTATTCAAATATTGTTTATTTGCTTTAGCTGTAGAGTGCTGTAACCTCTCAGAGGACCCCAAAGCCAGATGATTATTGACATTTTATTTCTACACATTTCATTTTGAGATCTAAGACTTTATATTGGGGTGTTTCTAAACAGCAGATAATGAAGAAAGTTTTCCCACTTAGAAGTTTTTTTCTAGATACATTACATATAAATCTGATGAAGAAGATAGTACTGCAGTTAGGGTTGTGTGACATTTTTGGGTATTTTTACATTATATCATTTCCACACTCTTTTCTGATGCTTTCAGAAGTTATTGCTACTTAGATGTGGAGTGTTTGGCAAACTCGGTATTGGTTGCTTGGGATGGTATAGATCATATTCAGACATGGTTGTTTCTAGAACACCGTTTATTCTCAGAGAACAGTGGCTTGTGAGTGGGACAGTGAGCTCTATCTGTTGAAGTTTTTTGTTCACTCTAAGGCATGCATTCTCTTTAAGTAAAAATAACTTTCAGGCTTTTTTATCCATTATACTTCACTTTGGAAGCTGAAGTTTTTATTCTTATTTTATAATTTTGGAATACATTTAATGAAAGGAAATATTGAAACAAACCCATCAGAGTACTACAGTTCATTGCTCTGTGTATGTCTTTACTTGTGAATTGTCAGTAATAACTTTGCCGGTAGGGTCAATAAGTCACTCTCTTTCTGTTGTATTATTGGCAGATCTTTTGCCAAGGTTGCAGCCATACCAATAATCAGTGGCTTAGATAATTCCTTCCTAATGTGTAGGATTCTTTTTCAAGAATCCATATACTACATTTGAGTATTTTTCTAACATCTTGAACAATCATTATCTTCTACAGTATTATGGATTAGCTTTTACTTTTGGCACGTTAATGTAAGTATATGCTGCTTTCTCTGATAATTATTCCTCTGTGACTGCCCTGCTTAATGAAATCTAAGGAGCTTTGTGTTATTTTTTGAAGCTCTGTAACTACCAGTAATGCAATGGTGTGTGCCACTAAATGATTTTTTTCTCATCTGGACATGTTCCTCTGCCCTTAATTATTTTCCTCTATGTTTCATATATGCTAGCAGATATCTCAGTTACCTTATGGTGTCTACTATGGTACCAGACATCAGTGTTTACGCACCCAAACCCTACCTTCTTTTTTCTGCTTATCCTCAGCAAACAGAACCAGCTGATTTTTCCTCCTTTGGAAATGGGATGAAAAGATCTCTTTGGCCTTCTGATTTACGGGCTCTGCTGCTCCATGGTTTATCCACATGTTCCATCATGCTATAGCTCTCTTGAAGCTCGTGCACCAGCCTTCCATTCCTTTTTCTTTTCCATCCAGAAAAACTGACTATGCGACCGACTATGCTTTGTAACACCCTTTCCTCGAGGCAAGGGTGTTAGAAGAGAAAGCTGTGTATCTTCTGTACAGTAAGTCATGAATTGTCTTAGGTATGTAATATTTTTAGAGATTTTTTCCTGAAATTTATTTTCACCTAGAAAGTCTGTGATTAACTTACATCAATTTTATTTCTATTATTTCTTTTTTCTATCTCTTTTCCACCTTGTCCCCTCCGTGCTATACTTACTTATTTGCACTGTAGTGACTCCTACATGATGCACACAGGATCTGAAGCCTCCTTTACCAGACATTATACAGAGATCCCTGCTCTAAAACTTTATATCAAGAAACAGAGAAAACAGAAATGGACTTTATTCCTAGTTCAAAATTCAGAAATTTTTTTCCTTTCCTTATCTATGACATCATGGGAGCTATGATATATTAAAAATGTATGCTTTTTTAGCAGACCGTTCAACCTGACCATCTTCATTTGGCAGTTACTGTTAGGTATCTTTTGCTTCAATAATAATACTTTCCGTAAGCTTTGAATTTTCTTAAGGCTTTCTTAAATGAGAAAGCAAGGCTTTTAAAAGAGAGCAGAATTTGTATTTCCTTTGATTTAATAGTCTGTTATCTTTTCTCAGAATAATATGTTCTAATGTGATTCAAGATGATTGATACTCATAATTCTACAGAAGATTTTGGTTTCCAGAGCTACATACTGTTTCTGTAGAAACATTGTGCTTTTATTTCAGTCTTTTGCGATACTAGATTTTATATAAGACCAAATTGCTGTTTTATTTCCTGAGAACGAGCCATTCAGCATGTTTTACTATGTCTTAACTCATGAATGCAGTCACTTTGTGAGAAATTAGTTGATTTTTCATTAGTGTTTTGTCATAGAATCACAGAAACATTTAAGTAGGAAAGGACCTCTTTAGATCATCAAGTCCAATCCCTCTGCTCAAGCAGGGTGAGAGAGAGCAGATGGAGTTTCATGTTTTTTAATTTGTGCCCATTACCTCTTGTCCTCTCAATGGGCACTACTGTGGAGGGTCTGACTGCTTCTTCTTTGTTCCCTCCAACCAGGTATTTATACACATTGATGTGACCTCCCTGAGCCATTTCTTCTTCAGGCTGAGCAGTCCCATCTTTCTCAGCCTCTTCTGATATAAAACAAGTTCCAGTCCCTTAGGCGTCTTTGTGGCCCTGCTCTGCACTCACTCCAGTACGTGAAAGCTGAAAAAGCTGTTGTAGTTCAGCACTGGGAGGATTGCAGCATGTGGGGGTGTCCCATGCCAGAGCAGCTTGGGAAGGGCTGCAGCCCATGGGAAGGACTCCAGTTGGAGAAAGTTGGTGACCCATGACAGAGCAGTGTAAGGAAATGCTGCGGCCTGTGGGAGGGACTCATGTCTGAGAAAGTTTGTGGAGGACTGTCTCCTGTGAGAGGGGGACCACGATGGAGCAGGGGGAAGAAGTTCCAGAAGCTCCCCCTGCTGAAGATGGAAGAAGTGGCAGCACTAACTTCATCCCTCTCCGCCCACCCCCCCCCCCATTCCCTGCCCCTGCGCCACTGGGGGAGGAGGTAGAGATATCAGGAGCAGAGCTGAGCCCGGGCAGAAGGGAGGGGTGGGGGGAAGGTGTTCTCAAGATGTGGCAATGCTTCTCACTGTCCTACTCTGTTAAGTGTTGTTGGTATCTGTAATTATGTTCTTTTTTTCTCTTCCCCTAACTAGTCTGCCTTTTGCTCATGACCTTAATGGGTGATTTGCCCCTCCTGGTCCTATCTCAAAGCCCAAGCCTGGCTCATCTGTCCCTTCTCATTGCCAGAAGAGAAGGGAGTGTGAGTGGCTGCGTGGTGTTTGGCTGCTGACCAGGCTCAAACCACAACAGCTGCCACATTTTTACTACATTTTGAAGCTTCTGGTTATAGTTTATTGTCTCCTATTTCTGATGAAGAAATTCTATGTACAGAAAGACTGACTGATACAATGATTAGAGGATTTTAGTAGTATTTTTAAATTATCACAGTTTATTTAATATTGCTATTATTTTCCTGTCTTTACTGCCAGAAGTATTAACATGAAAATTCTCTAATACTGCTCCTTTACATTACACTGACAGTCTTCTGACTTTATATACCACCTTGAAGGACCCAACTGGAGAAGACAATAGGAAACACATGATTCATAGCTGTATTTCCGCTGGAACCCAACTTTACCGGAGTATGTGTCTGGTTTATGTCTGATTCCTCTGTCTTTCAGGAATCAGAGCCAAGTGTTGGACTTGGACAGTAATGGTGTGAGATATTTCTTACAACATAACCTTGTGGCTAGAAAGTTTTAGAAAGAAACAAATTTGCAAAATAACCCTGCCATCTTACATCTTACCCTGACAAAGCCTAGAGGATCTCTGGTAGGGTGTACTTTCTATCACTTTTATTAGAGCTTGATCAAGCTACTATGTGTAGAAGAATTCAAGATTAATGAGACCAGAGGGAAAAAATAGAGCTGGATTCTGCAGAGTGGTAAGAAGACATGCTCTGATGAGAAGAAAGGAGTCTTGCATCCTGATCCTTGTTGCCTGTCTTCATATATTTTATATGACTTAAAGACTAAATGTCTTCCAAAAACCTTCTTATCATAGGATTACAGAGCCTGAAATATAAGTATACCCATAGAAAGAAGAGACAGTCTAATGGTACAGTGCAATCAAAATAGGTGGGTTAGACAAAGGCTTGAAAGAAAATCACAGCTAATTAGTATCATGGTTACCTGGTCCTGCTGGCTTTAACTCCTGTTTCATCCACTTTTGTATAATGTTTTTTTTCTAAAAAGTCTGTCTGGATATCTTCTTATTACTTGGGGAAGGTGGAAAAATTACAGGTAAATGTGTTTGAATGTGTGGGGAATATTTCTTCATTACAAGTCATTAGTCTTTCTAGTCTATATTGCCACCCAGCTGTGATTAAAGAAACTAAGATATTAAAGGGCTTGAATATTTTGCTTTTGCTTCTGTTCAAGAAACAGATTACAGGGTGTTCTTTATTTGTAGTAGGAGAGGGTATGAACAGACTATAAAACGAAGGATGGAAACAGGGCATTTGTAGCATTTGTGGTCACAGTCTGAACTTGTAGAGAAAGAGAATTACCTCAAAGGACCAGCGGCTGTGGGGATCCTTATCCTGTAGGACTTTGTACTTGAACATGACACTTGTCTTTTGCTGCCTATGATAGCTCCTCTTTTATCCCCTTTCCTTTGAAACATCTAAGCTCAAGATAACTTTAGTATGCATTTACATTTTAGTTTCACTAAGTCCTAAAAGCATTGAAATATTGAAGTGCTTTGTTCACTGTGGTTTATAGTGGACCAAATTGTGTATCAGTACGTCAGATTCTGTGTTTAGCACTGAACTAGGACTGGAAGGAAAGAATGAACGTATGTATATGGTGAAATGCATACTAATCTCTATACAAAGAAGAATATTGTAAAACCTGCATCCAGTTTCCAGGTTTATAAACATACAGGCTTAGAGGATATAGAGGAAAAAAATCATTACCCATATTTGATGAGTAGATAAAGTGAGGAATACAAAATGAAGACAATTATGCATCCATGTTTTACTTACATTCTTCCCTTTCAGGTTTTTAGTTTTGTTGAAGCTACAAACAAACAAAAAACCCCCGAACTTGCTGTAGATTTTACCACAGCTGCAGAGTAGAAAATGTCTTGCCACACAGGTATGTAAGATGTAGTATCTCTAGAGGGGTAGCCAAATTACAGAAGTGTATTTGCTACCTTGCAAGCTGCATTATTTTGTCAAGTGTTGAACCAGCTATCTTGTATTATGATAAACTTAAAAAATAATTATGTCCTTATGACATGAAATTCCATGAAAACAAACTCCAGTGATAGTGGCATATTTTTGCACAGCTTCTTTCAGATCACCTGCACTCTTCAATCAAGTGCTTTTTTCTATTCTTTCAGGCTCTCTTCAGAATTTATCCACATCTCATGTTAAGTTTGTTGTATGGGAAGCTGATTTCCTTTTCCAAATTAACTGTATATTGACTCTGAGATTAGTAGCTCTTGTGTTGTGATATGCCAGGTTCTCCATCACAGGAAAATGAGTCACACTGGCTCAGAATGTGACCAATGCAATATAAAGAGAAATTCATCAAGGAGCTGCAAAATTTTAAAGTGGGTGCAAATGGTAACCATAAGATGAGTTATTCCAGAGGAACATTCACTCATTTATTTACATTTATGAAAATTTCACCCGAAAAACCACTTAAATATTGCAGGAAATATGTGCAGGTAGATTTCTAGATCACATAATTTTCAGTCTTGCTTGAGTTTAATTTCTTAAAAGCAGATTATAAATTCATAATTAACAAAGGACTGAAACTAATCTTTCTATTTTCTGGTGATCTACTTTTCAATGTGACCATTAGAGCCTTGTGTCCTCGGTGGGCTGAACGCATCTCTGTCAAGGACTACTCTGAAAGTACAGTGAAAGTCAGAAAAGTGGACAAAATAGAATGGTTATAGTTGTGTGAATTCAGAAGTACAACATATAGGAACCACGCTGAGTGTTTCATAGCACTTTCTGGACACGTAACATTGATAAAGTTCTTTCACTGCTACTTCTGCGAGCGCTGCACAGCAAGAGGCATTCCATTCCTTTACCGCCGCTGATAAATGAGTTGAATTATTAGGACTGAAGACATCAGAAATAGAAAGAACTTGGCATGATTATCAAATCAATCTGCAGCAAGTTTTAGGACAAATAACAGTGTGGTCTTTCAAATGCCAAAGTAAACAGCTTGCATTAGAGGCACCAAGGAGACAATAAAAGGTGCATCCATACTGTGCCATTTGAAGTTTCTTTTCAGAATATTAGCTTTCAGAATATTACTGCCCTTCAAACATTATGACCATACTCACAATTCAGAGATGAATTGTTAATGCACCAGAGGGCAGATGATATTGGATATGAAAAGAAATGTGAATTCCTGAAAACAGCAAAGCCTGTGAAGTTCTATTACAACAGGGGCTTTTAGGGATTCATGGGTCTGTTCATGCCCTTGAGGAGATCACAGTGTCCAAATACCATGCTGGTTACGAAGAACTTGGAGTGCATGGACATCTGGTAATTAAAATCACAATATATAATAGAAGGAGTTTACAAATGTGCTGAAGGCTCTGTGTCTGCTTGCTGTAAGCCTTCTTGCCTGAAGAAGAGAAAGAGGATTCACTCTCCCTTTGCTCCAGGATGTGCTGCCTTTTCCAGACCTGGCCTGTTGATATTTTGTAGAAGAGAGCATCTTGTTTGTAATTACAGATACAGACTAGGTCACCTACCTGTCACTGGAATTACATTCATTGTCTCTGTTTTCCCTCTCTAATAAATTTGGCATAAAATATTTCCTATGATTATTTTGTACTTCCTCTCATTTATTTGTCATATCGTTTCCTCTTTTTTTTCCTTGAGAACAGGTTTAATTATTTGCTATGTGTTGGTGGAGTGCCTAACAGGATGAAGCTGAGGCACTGCGGTGTTTCTGCAGTACAACTAATCAGTAATAATAGTCACAGTAGTAACAGAAGGACTGGTTTGTTTAATAAATTTAGAAGGGAACTGGTATAGCTGACTTAGAGTGGAGTGAATGCTACTTGACATTTTCCAGGGAAACACTAATAATATTGTCTTCCTAGAAAAAGTAAGCAAACTAAGAGGGAAAACCAGAACTACAGACTAGTTAGTGCTCTCGGGGCAGAGAGAATATATAGCTCCTACTGTGAAAAGGTTCAGGAGACCAGAATGCACAGATATTAGAGGCTGTCACAACAATGCACTGTTTTGGGCACCTCAATATCAAAAAGAGGTTGTGAATTCAGAAATGAAATAACAAATACCATTATGTGCTTAAAGATAGACCTTTTTTTTTTTAAAAAAAAATAACTCAGAGTTAACTCATTTCTTCTGATTGGTTTGTTACATTTTCTTTTGCAAGGAAATATATGGATCCAATTTAATAGTAATTGTTTTCAGCTGAAAACTTTTCACTGAAGCAAATTTAAGACACTTCAGATCCATTTGCTTAACTACCTTAAGTGGGCCTCTGAGAAGGAGCAGAGAGATGCCGAGGTGAGTACTCAGTGAAAGCCACTGATACAATGTAACTTTATACAACTACTTTGCGCATTAATTAATGTCAACAGAGGTAAAGCAGAGGTGAACAAAACCTACTGCATATACTGTGCTAGGTGGACAAAAAGCTTTTGATTTCCACTGAGATACCAGGGTCTGTTCTCATCTACATTTATCTGAAGGGCTTATTACGTAGGATGGAGCATCATGGTTTAGTGTCGTCAAGACAGGGGACAGGATATGATCAGCTGAACAGATATAGCTTATAAGATGTATCTTAAACCAGCAGCAAAAATGTTAACAATAATACACCCTACAGTGAAATTTTGGCCGTGGAGTACCTTCATTGTTAGGGTAATTTGGAATTGGAGTTGTCCAAGTATTCAGAAACATTCCCTAAGAATGACTCCTCAATGACAAAGGAAAATTAGACTTGCTGAATTACAAATAGAAGCATTACGCCTGTTTTTTTTTTTTTTTTTAATCTTTAATTTCTGTGCTGTAATAGGTATGGATGATGCTTAGCAATAGTAATTCAAGAACCTAATATAGTTTCAAAACTGTTCAAGGGACAAAAAGATATTGAAGTCAGCTAAATGTAAATTTAGTAAAGATTGACTCACTAGGATTCACCAAAATGAAACTGTGGCTGATATGGTTTCATTTCTATAAACCTATTTGAGAGCAACCTTGGAGACTGTTTTGAGAAAACTGCTTTCTACTCTGTCATTCAGAAAACTTTGTATGTCTAGACTGATGGTGTAACATATCATGTAGTAACTGAGCACATTAATAAAAACATTCAATATGTCTTATCTTCTGTGTGGAATCTAATGAGACAGCCAGAGAAGTCAAACTTGCAAATCACTGTCTCTGAAAAGATTCTGCTGTAATGAGTTTTCTACTCAACCTGTAGATAATCCACTGTTATTGTTCTAAATATGTGCAGGTGGACAGCAATTGAATAATTTTAAAATCCATTCTATTCTTTAATTTTAACTAAAGATTCAGGTACCTCAGTTAATGAAGTAATTACATTATTGAAAGATGATATTAACACAGTGAGGTTTCTGTATTGTTACCTTGTTAAATGGACATCCATCCTATTATGATACTGCACAAATAATATTTCCACATGCAGTTTAGAAAGCAAACTATCTTGCAATTTACCTTTTACTGCTTCCATTGAGCCTGGCTCTTCCTAGTGAAGAATTCCACTTTCAGCTTCAGTGAATTGGATGCTCTGGAAGCTCCATCTGATCAGACACTATTATGAAACACCAAATTTGTGTGTTAAAATTGAGACAAAGGGCAAATGACAACAGAAGGAGGAATGCCACACTTGGTGGACCAGATTCTTATTTTATTTCCATCAGTTATTGCACTGTACTTGAATGAGTTCAGCACAATTCTGCCATAAATAAATAATCACGATGTTATCATGGTTAGAGAGAAAGCACTATCTAGTGAATAGAAAAGAAGAATTATTTTATCTGCTCTAATGATAGCCACTTATTTTCTGCATGATCTCGAGAAAGTGATTTAGTCTTTGTCGTTCTATTTTCTGTGGTTTAAATGGGCCACTCTAACATTTTTCTACCTTGTTGGATTGTTGTGAGGATAATTAAAGTTACTCGAGCACTTTGATACCTCTAGGTAAGAGGAGTAAATCAATGTAACTACATATTTTTTCTAGGTTGGATTGAATAGAGAAGTTGCAATTGGCTGTAGTTTATAATTTTGGTGGTTGACATAATGAGCCCTTTACATCAAAGTCTTGTAGTGCAACTGGTTATGCAAAACTTACAATGGAGTGTATAAATTAGATCTTAATGTCTTAAAAGGGACTGAATTAGTGTGGTTCAAGAAGAGTCTGATGAAATTTTTTTTAGTTGAATGGGAATGATGGGATGATTCTAGGATACGGGAAATCCTGCATTATTGATTAATTATGATAAAATATACACTTGAAAGGTATAGAAAAAGCAGATCTAAGTTACCACTTACTTTCCACTTCTCTGCCTTCTTGATCTTTTCACTTTCCACAAATCAAAGTATCTAGATAATTATTCAGATTTACGCTTGAATGCCTTATTCATTTTCTATTACCAAGAGTATAAAGACTATACTCTGTGCAAATCCCCTTTTTCCCTAATACACATTCAGTGGTGGGGATTGTGAGGGACAGGTCAAAGGGCTACTATAAAACCATATCAAATTACATTTACTAATACCTAACCTAAATGATCCTTCCTGCAGCTTAATCCTGTGACTTCTCATCCTGTCCATCACAGGAATGCAGAATGAGTTTGTCCCTTCCACTTTTTGGCATCATTTGATATAAAATCATTCATATGTGCTCTCTTTTCTTTCATTTAAGCTAAACAATTCCGGTTCTTTCAACTTTTCAAGGCTGGCCATGTTTTATGAATTTCTTACCGCTGCGGCTCTCTTTTTGAGTGATTCTGCTAAACTGACTCCTTAGGGGGTGCTGCCTGGGGTTCCAGTCTTTTCTGAGACCAGCGTGTGTCTCAGGAGGGGGATAAAGGGACTGCCAATAACATAAGAAAAATTGCCTCACAAACCAAATTCTACTTCCAACCCCAAAATTACACTGATTAACATAACATAAATGAGAATATAATCATATAGCAATATAATGAGAATATAATAAGACCCCAAGTGATACAAGCATAGCCTTTTTGTAACTTTAACAGTGGTTCAGCACTGATAAATCCTAATAGTTCCAATAACTATGATTTGGGATAAAAAACCCTACAGATTTAATTGATCCTTTTGTTAGCTGTTTGGTTTTTGTCCCTTGGCATGCTGCTTTTTCTTTAGCTCTGGAGATTAAAAACTTAATTTAGCTTCTGATGAAGCCTGGAATTACTACATTATTACTGTATTCAGAGAATCTGCAACTACAAGAAAAGCACTAAGTATCACAAAATTTATGATTAAATTTATAAAACTGGTAACATTAGTTATTTCCTAAAGAATATCAGTCTGACAGCCACTGATTTGTTAAATAAGTCTATCTGTAAATAATTGTTGGTAATCTACAGAAATATTTTGAACTCTAAAAATCGGTTCTCTCATACAGTTTCAGACAGCAATGATTTCTTTGTCTTTTCTATTTATTTCAGAATGTTGAAACAATAAGGTACATTTTTTTTACCAACTTTCCTACTTGCTTTCAGGCTGCTGTGTTTCAAGTTGAAATAGCCTATATATAAAATGCAGAAAACAAAAGATAAAACATGAAGAATGTTTATTTCTGTATGCAGATTTGCCTGCATATGCAGTTTCACACATCAGACATATGTTTATAACTTTCATAGGGTAGTTTTCCAACTGTAGGAGATACAAACCAATGAAGGATGATTGAGATTGCTTTTTGTTTTTTTCTATTTACTATTATCTGTTTATGATTCTGAAAGACTTGTTCCAAAGTCTATTAAAATAAGTGGCAGACTTCCACACTCTTCACATCCATCCTTAAATAACTAATAACATTGATGATGCATTTTCACTTGAAAGCATAGTGTTGGCATAGTATTTTTTATCTCATAATGGCAAAGCAGTTGACTGAGAATTGCAGTTTGTCTAAGCCAGATCAATTTTAATAGAAAAATTAAATTTGTGACTTATAGCTCTTCCAAGGCTGGTATGTTTCTGTTGCTCAGCACTGGCCAAAATCTGTCTTGATTCACAATCTACAAATTCTCAGTAGAATACCGAGATTTTACTATGTTTATATCAAGGCAGAATTTGGCCCAATATCCTTAAGTTTATTTGTATGTGTTCTCAAAGAGCAGTTTCTGCTCATGTATGGAAATCCCCACATGCATTTTTTTAGAAAACAGTGATTTGCTAACAATTTGACAATAATTTTGCATTTTAAATACCTCCTAGGCTCTAAAGCACAACCACAGAACATGAGTAATTCTCATAATACATAGACTAGAAAAAACTCTGATCTAGGGTATGTTGTCCTGTGTTGCAGAGTATTTGCCACAGAGGCAATAATAATAACTTCATAAATGTTTGTCTTCAGTATACAGATTGCAAAAGCACATTTGAAATCACTGGAATCACTGGAATTAGATGTCTATAGGCCTTTTCAAAAATCCTTTTAAGTACCCTAGCTGCAGTTTTGCGCATCTGAAAAACCTGAAAACCTTGTAGCATGGCATCAAACAAATATAAAAACTCTAGTGAGCTGTGAGATGTCTACTGAGATGTATAGCAACATCTGTTAGTGCAGGGTGTCTAGTTCA